TGGCATCCCGATCCGTCGGCGATCTTGTCTTATCCTTGGATCGCGGTTCTGAGTCGGATCGCGTTTTACCTTGGATTGCGGTTCTGAGTCGGATCGCGGTTCTGAGTCGGATCGCACTTTACCTTGGATCGCGCTTTACCTTGGATCGCGATCGATCCTGGGTGTGTGGTCCTCATAACTTGGATCGCGATCTCCACTCCACGAAATTTGTTTATCCAATCTTCCACATCATACTTGGTGACTGACGCCGTGGTGGTGTCGTTCCGTCCTTTTTTATAATAGCCTCAGTGTGCTTCCTCCTCACAACATCCCCGGTCGACACCCGTTCGTCTGGGGAAGAAATATGGCTGCGTTTTCGGGCTACATCGGAAGTTGATCGTATTTTGACTGGAGGCGTACTTGGTAGTGCCGGTAAGACCGTTTGACCGCCCATCACAGCTAAGTTTTGTTCAGCTGTAGGGTGGCGGCGCACTAAAGCGCGACAATCTACCTCCGAGCTGCGACGAAGGTGCTGCGTGTCAGCTGGGTCTATGTCATCCGCCAGTAAGCCTGCAATTTCTTGGGACGAAGGGTCATTGTGGCGATCGAGAAAGTGCCCAATTTTGCCAGCCGAGTGTAGCTGGGATTGCCACAAACTCAATATGTCATGCGTAACTTGCATTCTCCGAATAAAAGAAAATTTGACCTTCTCGTCTTCCCCTCCTCGTAATATCGCTGCAACCTGTTGTTGCTTTGTCATGTCCAGAATCATCACTGACGTGTCAATTAGTGCAGGTCGCGATATTGTAGCGGCTCGTCAACCGTTACAAACAGTAGAGATCGTGTTGAATATCGGGATGCACCGTATAAGCTTTTAATGGTGCCCAAACCTCGTCTGAAGCACCAGTCCAAGTCTCCGGGTCCCATCGTCCGTCCATAGAATCGTCCATAGAATAGTCCAAAGAATCGTCCATAGAATTTTTCACGTCACGAGTTGTTGCATATTTGCGGTGTCAGGTGTCACCGACAATACAGGGGCCATTCCATTCGCTAGAATCGCTACTTGAGTCTCCTTACTGTCCACCTCATCCTCAAAGTCCAGAAGCTGACTGGTCCTACCAGTATGGAGAAGCGCCGAGTAATGGCGGCCCCAGAAATGCAGCAGAAGTGGTGGTTGTATGGGATTCTTGATCTTGTCTACCACCACTTCGTCATATAAATTCTTCATTGACAGTGTATGTTCCGCAGCTGTCTCAATAACTCGCCGATATCGTGTAACCGTAGTCAGAATAAAATTTCTGCACCGCCAACCCGGTTTCAGTCCCTCTGACTGCTGCAAAACAAAGATTTTTTTTGCAGAAATTTTTGGCTGCCATGCCGACCGTATCACTTCTCTCTAAGGGTCCTCACTCACTGTCACTGTTCTGTCGGAGGAGCTGCTTGCAATATCCTCAAGGTAACACCGCATTTTAGTGGCCGACTCTTGTCGGGTCATGGAATGACATCCTCTCTTGACATTCGCAAGCACATGCACTCTATGGTCATGAGCAAGTTGCCCTTCGAGATCAATCATCCCTGTATATGTAATGCCTCGCTTTAGACTGGGAGTAAGTAACTCAAGTGTTTTGTATGGCCCAATCATTGTTGTATCTGCTGCCTCCTGCGCCAGTGCCATAGCCATAGCCATACAGTTACCGATCGCAGGCGTGGCGACCGACCGAACTCCTAGTTAAAGTTCCACCTCTGCCAATGTAAATGGTGAAGTTGTTGATCTAGCGCTCAATGGTTGCGACGGAAGTTTCATGAACTCCGTTCCAGTGACTAGCTTGTCAAATGCCGTTCTCTTTCCGTTTATGCGTAAGGATAACGGGTTCTAGGGGTTGCTATCGGTGCTGGACCGCGCAATGTCCCTGCCGATTGTCGGTGCTTTTCCTCAGATGTGAGAGGCAATTTATTGGTGAGCCCATGCCCGTCCTGAGAGTTCTTTGTTTAATCGACCACGGTTTCTTGCATAACTGAGTCTATGCTATTACGCTCCGGTTCTTTTTTATTTTATTAATTCGTGGTCGTCCTCCATGAGCACCTGGTATACCCCGGACGTGGATGCAGAGGCCGCATTCGTAACCATTTGTTTATCTTACTGTGACCGCCCCCCTTTGTTCGACTTCGTTATCCACGGTTGCTTGGGTGGAGAGGCCGGTTCCGGTTGCAGATGTACATACTTTGATCCTTGTTCGGCCTGAGGAGTGCCGTTGGTGCTGTGGACCGCTGGTACCCCTGACGTAGACTCTGTAACGTCGGTGGACCGTGTCGGCGTTACTGCTGCCTGGGCTGTCCTTTCCGCCTCCATCTGGAGCTCAAGTCGTTAGGCCGCCAAAGCTTCAATTTCTGCAAGACTGGAAAAAGGTTTTGCTAAGTCTGCGAGATCCCGAACGTCTACTTCAGTCACCTCAATGCCTCCGGGACCCCGCAGTTGGTCTTTTATGAAGCGACAGCGAGCTAGGGTGTGACCTAGGTTACCACACTGCAGGCATTGAATGCGATGAACATTGGAGTGTTTGGCGATAATGGTTGTGCCAAACCAAAGTATTCTGACCACCCCATTAAAAAATGTGGGACAACCTGCCAGCTTGAAAGCGACCTTCCAAAATGTGGACGTCTGAGAATCCGGGGTATGAGTATCCAAATTTTCCATATCGAAATCAGTCGGAATCTTCGCCTTCAAAAAAGCTGCAATGCGACCGATATCGTTGAATCGGGTAAGGTTGTGTAGCTGCACCGTGTATTCCACCCGTCGCCCGGTAGCTGTGCCATTAAGACCCTGCTGTCGGAGCCAAACCGATCCCTTCTCTGGCCTGTGGGCATTTTGAAGCCGATACACGCCGCCATAATACGGAACTCGCACCTCTTGGTGCTGTTCCGCCGTTTCCCTAGTAAAAAAGTAGAAATGGATTGACTTGGTTACTTGGTCATAGCTAATTGTCTTCGTCTGACTTAGAATTCGATGGAGTGCTTGAATATTAATCCGAGCGAGTTCCGCCGATTCCAAAATTCCTTCCGTGATTGTTTTGGTAGTCTGCCTGCTCGCCTTGACCACACGAGATTTATCCAAGTGTAAAATCAATTCACCTTCCACTTGAGCTTGGATGGTGCTATACAAACGTAGCCTCTCCTCACTCTTTAGAACATGTTTGAGAAAAGCAGGTATGCGACGACACGCCACCGTGCCTTCTACTAATCCGACGATTACCACCCATTCATCGTCGGTATCCTCCCGTACTTATTGTTGCCTTGCTGGGGATGCTGGTGCTGCACACAGCGCTTCCAATCGCTCGAATTTTGCGCTCGAAAACTTCGATCGAACATAAAATTCTCAAAAGACTAAAGACCTGCGCGCACCGGTGGCCGACGTGGTGACGACCCTCCACGTTGAACTACTTGAGTCCACTGTCTTAGAACTGGGGCGTGGGCCCACTTGTGATGGCTAGCTGTTCGTCAAACAATCTCCTTAAATGCCCACTTTGTGGTCAGCAGTTCATGCGTGATGGGCTTAGCCATTATATTCCACTCCTCAGAACTTCCTTTTTCCTTGACAAAAACTTGTTCAAACAGGCCCAATAAGCTAGTTGCCTCTGCCTCACTCAGGGTAGGAAAGCGTTTCCTCTCGATAGGCAGGGCCTCTGATTTACACGGAATTGACGTGTACACGTCCTCAAATATTTGACGCACTGTCTTGCACCATGCGTCGACCTGTCCTACGTTAGGCGAGTCGATCATGTCTTCTACCAGTGCCGTAAACATATCTCCTGACGATGCGCGTAGCGGTACTGGCGACGGCGCGACTGGTGCTTGGCCGGTGTGTGCTGCCTGAGTTGGGTCAACAGCTTTACCAGCACTATCAGTGGTACCATTGTCCCTCCGTGTAGTTGTTGACGGCATACTCGAATTGGGTGGACCCTCTGGTGTCACTGCCGCTTCTTGTTGGGCGTGACTGCTGCTCGTCTCTCGTACCAAACGAGGCTTGGAGGTAGCTACACTGCTAGCTTGACCCTTTAACGCTTGGTCCGTAGATGACTGGTCTTTGATAACGAAGCCGCCAGGGTCTAAGGCACTACTCGTAATTGTCGCTATAATTTCTTGGTGATTAGGGCTTGCGTTCCCCATGATTTCAACGGAGCTCTGCCCTTTACCATGGCCAATCCCTGTCGATGTGGCCGAGCTGGCCGTGTCTGTCCCTCCTCCTGGAGGAGGCAGGTGAGGAGGCACCATCGCTCTCGCTGTTGGTGACGTTTAAGCTAGTAAAGAACCGTTCCTTTTATTCTCCCCCGTGAGAAGATGTGATCACTGAGCCGCAGATTGGGAAGTTGATACTTTAAGACTTTACATAAAGTATATTTCATAATGTTTACGTGTAACTAGGTGCCCTGTTACAGTGATAGGATGGTAATAATTGTTGCATTGATTGGAGTTGTACAGATAAATATTCGACAACAAGAGTGTACGGAACAATTGTATCAAACAATCAAGGGTCAATTGGCTCAGGAATTGCTGTGTCGATGGTGGTATGCGATTACCTCGTACCCATTTAGGCCTGCCCGTTAAGTATTCGATACATAACCAACCTTGTTATTTTTAGCCCATGACAGTTACACACCTCCCCAATACTCCGTATCCACTAGTTTTATTTGATATATTTCTGTGTCAGATGTCGTAACACATCATGGTCTTGCCACGCCAAAGTTGCTGTTTTGGCTGTGATTCTTGATGGGCGATCTGAGTCGCCATCTCCACGGAAGTCTTAAGATAATGTTTATAAAATCTTTAGCCGGATTTAGTATGATGCAGAAGAACTTGCGTAAAGAGATACCCTTGGCATAATACATGTACTTGTAACAATTTCATAGCTAAGGGCGATATTACTCTAGACCGCATGGTCGAGACCCGAATTCGAGGGGTTATCCCTCTAGGCAAGTTTTTTTTGTTGATGCATTGTGGTAGGTAATATGAATTTGGACAGGTCAATGTTATATAAGTCACCGATTTTGCAGATCGCTGTGAACGAGGCACCCATGAAGCTTGTCAGGTACGTACACGCCACTACCACGGGATCAGGAAATGGCCAACGTCTTGTATCGCACACAATGTAATAGTGTCCCTCACCATTACGTTTTTTTTCTTCATTGCTTCTCTGAAGGTTTTTAATGAAGTTGTCGAATGAGACGGTTACTATCGAGCTTAAAAACGGAACTATTGTCCACGGGACAATTACTGGTGCGGCTGAGGACTTGCATAGATGAGCTGCCATATTGCTTTATTATATTCTCTAGTAGATCTTACGTCTTCTATCTATTCTTTTGCTGCGCGATAGGCGTGGATATCAGCATGAACACACACTTGAAGGCGATCAAGATGACTCTGAAGGGAAAGAATCCCGTGAGTCTCGACTCGCTGAGCATCCGTGGCAATAATATTCGGTACTATATATTGCCAGACTCGCTAAACCTTGACACGCTACTGATTGACGACACTCCACGTGAGAAAGTGAAAGCGGGTGCTCCTGCAGGAAGCGGTCGTGGGCGTGGTCGAGGCCGCGGTCGCGGACGCGGACGTTCGTAATAAATGCACTCTTGCCTATTAGAAAAGGGCTTGTGATGGAGAGGAGAAGCAATCGTGAAACAGACGCAGAGATAAAGCACCAATGGACGCAACAGATAAGCGCTATCTCGCTTTTTAAGTTAACAAGAAACTTTATTTGCGTGCTGCGACGAGTATAATGAGTATATGACTGAGACCAGAGCAATAATTGTCGAATGCAATGGCTGCTTCATGCTACGCCGCAATGATAAATGCTTACATCTTGCGTACCTCTGACTTTTATACACGTATATGATCACTATTTTATCTCTAATAAACGATCTACATAAGCATTTCGGTGCCTCCCAACCAGTGCAATTCACAAATCGTACTTAATCGAGTACCTCATGTTCTACTACCTATTCAATGCAGTCGTGATGCTCCAGCAGAATAAGCGCAAGGCTGAGGAATTCACGGCTGAAGTGAACGCTAATAGTTTCCTAGAGGATGCACAGCGTTCAGTAGACTTCCTTTTCTCTTCCTTTGTCGTATTACCAGGTGATGACGTCACTTCCACACTCACCACAACCACACGTCGTGTTAAACTCGGTGCGTTTGCTACCGATTTGGTCGCTGTCGAATGACTAGAAAAGAGTGGTCACTTATCATTACTGATATATTTTGTATGTAAAAATTAGGGGCTGGACTTAAACATCTACCAGACAATCGGATCGTATGCACAAATGCAGGCGTCCTTCGCTATCGTCCCGCGAATCGCTATTGGGTCGAATTTAATCACAAGCGTGTACGTGAAATGCTGCACATAATTACTTGTGTGATGATCGTGTTACATGATGTGTATCATTATATATTGGTGATGGATCCTGTAGTATGTCACATCAATGGATGACGGGGTCATTGGCGTCGTTACTGATCGCAACGCCGAATCCTATCGCGTGAATATTGGAGCTGCGTACGTTTTTTTTGTTTCTTTAGCTGCTACGCTGTAGCAGACTGTTGGTCTTGCTTATAGTGATACTTAGCAAGGATGACGAGATGTCTTGCTTTTTGCTATTTTTTATTTACTGTTTACGTGTATTCAGTGCTAGCGCTACTTTGGGTTCGCTGGCGTTCGATGGTGCAACAAAGCGGAACCGCCCTAGTCTTCGTCTCGGGTCCCTAGTGTACGCTCGTGTGAGTAAGACTAACCCTAATGTGGAGCCTGAAATCACGTGTGAAGGTACGTACATTTATGTACTGTCATGCTGCAGTGAAGTAATGAACGCATTCACTAACTTGTATTTTAGCTCCACCAAGCGTGACTAAAAAAGATTGGATGACTGGTTTGGCCATCTACGGAGAACTGAACGATGGTTACGTGTTTAAGACGTCCATTGGCCTAGCGAAGTCGCTGCTGCGTGAAGATCACCAGGTGCTAGCGTCGTTGGGCAAGCGTTTGGCTTTCGAGGTAGCTATTGGGGTCAATGGCGTCGTGTGGGTGAACTCAAAAACTACAAAGAACACCACAATCATTTCCAACGCCATTATGAACTCCGAGACGATGTCTCCTAGCGAGATCGATGCCATGGTTTCTCGGCTTGTGGAAGATGCCGATGACGTTTAGCCAAGAGACGAATAGACAACACGCTCGCTTTATGTTTTCGAAAGGTATGTTTTGCTGTATAGACTGCTGCGCCGCAGCTGGCTGACACACCATATACTGCTTCAAATAGTTGCGCGACCCTCAAATTTGAAAGCACGCCAAAAGAAGAATTGTTACGGCATCGCCACCGACGACAGCATGGCCAGCATCTTTTTGCACGACATGACTACTACTATCTCGGAATGTGCGATAAGTAGCTTTACGGTGACTGCAACGAGTCTGGACTACCTGGAGTGCTTAGGCAAGCAGCGCCTTTACAATGTTGAATGAAAGCACGAGCGAGATTTGTGCGACTTGGGTAGAGAAAATCGTAAAATGTTCTGAGTTATCACATCTGCTCTTCAGTGTAGCAGTATCTAACTCCTCTCGGCAATTTGACGTATCAATCGCACTGTGCAATGGTATCGCCTCTGAACAGATCTTGAATATCACAAGAGCACCACCTGACAAGACACAAACAGTACTACGTGCTCGTAACTTGTAAGCATCACAAAAGAAAAAGTATCAACAAGTACTTCACAAGAAACGTCTCTCTTTTGCGTTTCTCTCGTCCCGCGCTCTCCTACCGATTCTTTCCGCTAAAGACGGCTTGAACTAGTCCCCTTGCTACTTATAGCTAGATAAGATGATGGGGCAAACAGAAAGCTTAGCCAAGCGTCAGACCCAGGCCAAACTTGTGAGAGTCGCCCTCAAAGTTCTTTGCATCCACATGCACGCTGGTGGTCAACGTAACGTACGGGCGCACTCTCTGGATAGAGGCCAGCGACAAAAATCCCTCGGAATCAATCTTGCCACAGTACGTAGTGTCATTGTCGGCCTTGTACCGACCACCAACCACCAGCGTGTTGGAAGCCGACTTAAGGTCGTAGTCCAACACAGCAGCGTACACTGTCTTGTGCGACAGATGGTGGTGAAACGAGGCCTGCACAGCAGCCAAGTTCTTCTTGGTCACAAGAGACGTGACAAAGTCCATACCCGTGAAGCTGACTCCGACGTTGTGCTGCACAATGGCCGACTTGTCGACGTTAAAAGCGGTCTGACCACCCACCGCAAAGCCCCCCTGCGAAAACACAGCAGCAGCCAAGACCGTATTGGACACAAAGTCTGCCTCCGAGTTCACGGCCAAGGTCTTTTGCTTGTACTCGGCACCGAGTACACCAACTTGCTTGGCACTCGTGTTCTTGGCGACAGAGCCATCCTCAAGCTTAAAAGTGAGCTTGAGACCCTCCGTCACCACGTTGGGTAGTTCAGTCTCCGTGATCAAGCGACCCTGGGTGGTAATCTGCAGTTTCTTAAATACCACACCGCTAGCGTTATGTGTAAAGCCACCCGAGACTTTAGCCACGATCGACTTGTTGCCACTCAACGCGCCTTCTGTCGTAAACGACACGCCATTTGACGCCTTGCTTTTGATCTTGAGCGTGCGGGAGAAGTCATAGTCATCACGCAGGACGTTCTCTGCTGTCTTGGCCAGATCTTTAAACAACACAACCATCGCTTTATCTCTTTTCTTGGACTGCTTTGATTTTAAAATGAGTCGGAAGGTTTTGACATGCGGCTGCCTCCACACAAAATTTCCCCCTCCTGTAAAAGTCGATATTATCAGGGTCCTAGAGTGCCAATCGTACTTGAACGAATCTCCATTGTGCGCGTACCACACCATCTGTACCCAAAGGCAACAAGTAGGTGCTTTGGTACAGGAAGTCATAGTTCTGGCTAAGTAACACCTATTATTCGATCATAATGCTACAAGACTTTTCTATTCGAAGCAGCACGGAGATAGTATGTAAATACTTGCAATTCGCACATGGTTATTGTAATTGCTAGGATGCTGGCTATTCGCTTCGAGTGTGGCGAGCTGGCTGTAAGGATGCGGCACTATGACGTCATCACGGAGACGACTTTGTTGCGGACTGTTATATGATGCAGCGAGGCATCGGCGTCAACTTGTAAATACACTACAGCTAAAGAAATGGTCATTTTTGACACCATAAAGTTGATTTATTTGGCATCGTAACAGCACGCGTCACGCAGTAAAAAAAAGGGACCAATTGATTTGCGTTGAGTATGAAGTATCTAGTCCTCATTTCGTACTTAATTAAGGGACGACGTTGGCTTGAGATTCAACTTGCCCCCCCCTTCACCCCCACGTGGCATTTGCGAAAAAGCATCAATTAGCTCGTCAAAGACGTAGGAAACAATGGTTGTGCTTTATAAAGACATTGCCAAGACGGCAGAGAATGTGCTTCGTGATGACTACGATTTCTCCCGCAAGCTCAAGATCAAGACCAAGGCGACAAATGGCGTTACTTTCACGACTGAGGGTGATATGGCCAGCAATAAGGCCATCCTCGGTAAGCTCTCGGGCACCTTTACGCACCAGAGTAGCGGTGTTGTGTTTAGAAAGCTACAGGTGACCACACACGGTCGATTAATCTCCGAAGCTGAGTTACCTAATGTCTTTACGAAGGGTCTCAAGCTCACGGCAAAGGTCGAAGACGGTTCATTAGCCAAGAACACGCACACCAAACGCATTGGCGTCTTTGGCTGGGAGTACCAGCAGTCGAGCTACTCAGTGAATGGCACTATTGACGTGGGTGCTAGCACAGTCAGCAAGTCGGCTGTGTACGGCTTCGACAATGTTCTTGTTGGCGCCCAGGCGGCTTTCAACTACAACAAGTCGGCGGTCGTGGACCATAATGTGGCTCTAAGCTATCGTGGCAACGATTTTACGGCCACGTTGCAGACCAAGAAGCAATTCAACGTACTTTCAGGATCATTCCATCACCACTTGTCCTATGACACTGTCTACTCGGCACTGTTCAATTATAATCTCAAGTCCGGCCAGAACACACTCAGTGTAGGTGGCCGCTACAATGCCGACAAGCTCACCACGTATGCCGGCAAGGTTGAGTCGGACGGTCACGTGTCTTTGGCTCTGATCCAGAAGATCCGCCCCTTCTTGGCGCTGACTACGAGTGCCCACTTGGATGTCAAGAACTTCGATGGTGATGCCCATAAGTTTGGCATCGGCCTCACTCTCGGCTAAAACAAAGCGATATTGGAACGTAGACGTGTGTCAGGGGAGATATAGGGAGAAGTTGGTCGATCGGGGTGTATCTTACTCTATCAGATAGGTCCAATTCAATTCACACCTCTTGTTACCGGTATACCAGTCAATAAATGTCGTTACCCGCCCAAGTGTATACCATTAAATGTCTTTAACCGTCAAATGTATACTAGACCTGGCATTCCAAACAATTATCCGTATAATTCTTTACCGACGCCTTTCACATCCAACCGCGTCTAAAGCGATACAAATTATAACCATGAGCGAAATGGACCGCTTTGACAGCATGTTACTGACCATCACACAGTCACAGCGTGGCATTGAGCCACTGCTGGACACGGTTTTCTCGTTTCTTCGTCGTAAAACTGATTTTTTCTCGGGCGCTGAGACGCACGTGATTGAAGATACAATTCTCAAGAGCGTTCGCAAACAAGCGTCATTGGCTGAGAAGGATCAGATCTCGAAGAAGCACCAGGAAGCCAAGAATCGCCAGAAGAAGGAAGCGTCACGCAAGGCAGCGGAACTAGAGAAGAAGCAGAAAAAGGACCCGATGGAGGAAGTCAAGAGCCTGTCACGCTTCGAGGAGATTACAGACGATGACAAGACGGAGATCAAGGAGACGAAACACACGAAGAAGTCATCAGACGAGACAAAGACTACTACAGAGGAGCACTGTGGAATGCGTACGTTGCTAATGCAAGCTTTTATGAAGACATTACCTGTCTAGATCACCTTCTTTTAGACTTTGCTAACTGTGCGATACTGTGTTTCATATGCGTGTACCGATACAGCGCTTGCTGGCAACGGAGGCCAGACTGACAAGTATGTGTGGACGCAAACGCTGCAGGAGGCCCAGGTTAATTTTGCAGTTCCCGAGGGCACTAAATCTCGACAGGTAGACGTGGACCTCCGTGCTGGGAAGCTAAAGGTGGGCCTACGAGGTGGTGAGACGTTTGTGGATGGACCTCTCTACAACAAAGTTAAGGTAGACGACAGTTTCTGGACTTTGGAAGATGGCAATCGCATTTGTGTCTACTTGCAGAAGGACAACCAGATGGAGTGGTGGAAGACCATTATTCAAGGAGACGCTGAGATTGACACGCAAAAAGTGCAGCCAGAAAACTCCAAGCTCGGCGATTTGGACTCGGATACGCGCCAAACCGTGGAGAAAATGATGTTTGATCAGCGTCAGAAGGCAATGGGTCTTCCCACAAGCGACGATATGCAGAAACAAGAAGTTCTGCAAAAGTTTATGGCGCAGCACCCGGAGATGGACTTCAGCAAAGCTAAAATCAACTAACAGCGGCACCCAAGCAAAGGACGGCTGTGTATCGGGTAAACTTAACGTGCTATCTAATACTACTGCCTTGGTGCTCGAACTGATCCCGGCCCGTTGTCTTGTTCTGGCATTCTCAGCTGGATGTTATTTGCTCTCTGTTTGAGAGCACATACGGCTTCAAAGTGCCTTGCCACACGAACAAATGACTGGAAGGTCGTCCCCAAGTCGTGTCAATAATGACGCATTTGAACATCATTTCGCCATAAAACTTGAGTCGGTCAAAAGAAGGCTTCTGAACCATTAATAACAATGATCGGCGATTCCCAGACAGCAAACGAGAGTCTACAACCTGTACAGCAGGCTTGTAACCCTGCAGTAACAAGTGCTAAGGTATCGAGGAGGATAGCTTCACAAGTACGTACTCAAGCTATGGCAACGTCGTTTTGCATGCACATTGTCAACCATTAGGCTGCAAAAGAGGTCCGAGCTCCTAACAGACCTTAACCACGGCACATGTTACGAAAAACTGAAAAATTGGTCTACAGCCAGACTAATTGGCTCATGGCAGATCAGTTGCAATTTACGATACTCGACCTTTACCGATTCCGCAAAGTTTCTGTCAACGTGACAAGGTGTTACTTAAGTTACCACCACAAGTTGTTTTCACATGTACATATCAACTACAGAAACCTTTTCAGACTTGATCACACAACAGACCATTGTTTACGGCCACGAAATGTCGTTGAAAAGATGATATTATTTTTGGCCGAAAGCGTCCTCTCATTCTCGCTAGGTGAGGCAGCAGCTAAGTGCGCTTGCGATCTAGACATTAAAGCTCTCTCCACATCCACAGCTTCCCTTTGCGTTTGGGTTTTCAAACACAAACTCGGATGCGACTGGGGTCACCTGCACAAAAGACAATCATTTAGCCATAACCAACTTCATCAATAGAAATGGTTAATCAATTCAACCTGAAAGTCCATAGTCGTGCCGACTACATGAAACAGTGCCTTGGGCTCAACAAAAACATAGACACCTAGAAAATTCACCATAAACAGCGTGTACCATTGTCAGTACTACTCAAAAGCTTCACCTTTCATTCTCATTCTGCTCACCATTCTTGCATACTTCCTCCTCCATTTTCTCCTTCTTGTCAGCATAATTCATCGTATACGATAATCCATTACATCCACCTAAATGGATACATCAATCACGAGCTTTTCAAAATAACTGCAACAACCTGCAATAAGAGGGACACACATGTCAATGCCACGTACGTGCTTTAACTCCTAAACGGATTCCAATGGCATCCGGTTTACTCGCCAGAAGTTCTTTTATACGTGTCGCAGCAGCGTCCGTCTGAATAAATTACAAGTGAAATATATAGCAGTTGATTAGTATTGTAGACTGTACGTACCACGTTATTCCTACATCAAAAAAGCATAACACGCTACAAACCAAATTCAATGGCGGTGGCAACTCACGCAAACGTCGGCGTGTAGGTGTTGTCGCGTGCTCCACTACAGTTGAGGATAGGCGTAGTGCGAAGTTGTAACTGTAATGTGGCGCGAAAGCGTGTCTGTGACGCGACATGGAGTGCAAGAAAGGTGTCATTTTAGCAGTGAATTTGTTCCGATGACTCGTTATGATAATACTTTATCTGCGAGAATTAGGACGACTGTACTGTGAAAGTTCGTTCAAGTACGATTAAATGCCAAGACAAATAAAAAAAGATGTTAGTGATCACCACCTTTTTGGTAACCATCAACCACCTTTTTGGTAGCCATCAACCACCCCATTTTGTCATAAATCTGATTGGTCAGAGTATACGACGTCGATAATAATAAGCCATCTTTAACAATGACCAGCGTAAGTGCTCCTTAGATTTTCACTGTGATGATGGCGGATAAGTTACTGCTAGATATTGACATTGTCTCGACTGGTATGCACCACTGTGACAAGGTCTCTACTACTTTTTTTGACGACGTATAGGTGGTAACGATATCTTTTTTGCTCTGAGCTTTCGTTAGCAAGCTTGAATAGATATTGCTGGAGTCGTAGACCATAGAGAAGATGACACCTTGTCTATCAATAGTCCACATTGACCGCTCGTGACCTGTCCAGCCGCGTGACGCTTAGATTTACACAACAAGGCTCATAGTGTCTCCCCACTTGCGACTAATATCCCCTTGAGCTATGGCTTTCAGTCATGCATTTTTACATGAAACATCTTCTCAACTAGACAAACAACGTCCTTACTTTCAAGCTCTCAAGTAAAAAGAACACAGAGAAGTGTTTCATGTATCTGCTATAGACTCGTTCCATTTGGTGCTGCATCTGCTCTACATTTAGTACGGGTCCGTCTCGTTGAGCCACTTCTCCAATCCCTTGAGTGGCTTTGACTGTTTGACCGCCTTCTTGTGCTCCGCAATCTTGCTAGGCATCGTCTCCAATGCCGCCTGCACCTTCTTGACACTATACACAACCAACCAACCAGCAAACAAACAACCAAATGTCATCCTTCTTCTCTTTACTGTTTCAATATGTAGCCATCTGATAAAACAGCAGCCTTATCATCACCCACCGATCAAATTCATTGCGTTGATTTTTATGGCCCTTCAGCGGTCGCATAACGTGGTGCTTCTGTGGTCGGTCCCAGGTCTCGAGCCACCCGCCTTTGCCTTCCTCCCACGTACCCACAAGTCCATTGCGCACCGCATGCTTCTTTACCATGGCAATTTTACGGCCAGAAATCAGTGGTTGTTTCCATTTTCCTTCCACTAGTTTGGGTTTCATGGCGGCTGCGGCTTCATCCGCACTCAGTCGGAGGAATCGCTGCATCCCGCTCATAGTCGCAAATTATTTAAGAATTGATTGAAATATTAGCGGTTTGTATGCGCTCAGTTTTCTACCAATCAAATATCGCTAGCTGCTTTTTTCAACAAATCAGAACACATCTCCTCCATTCCGATAGCAAAAAATGGCGTCCGCGGTTCCGCAGGCGGTCATGAATCGGGCCTATGTGATGCCACAGCAGTTCCAAAAGTCGCAAGAGCCTAAGCAGATTAGTACAGAGCAGATTCAGGTGCGTTTATACATATCCTCTCGGTTTATAGCTGCCCTTTTCTAATCGAATGTACCTGATCTTTCTTTATTGTTCAGGCCATGCTGGACGAAAACTCGAGTCTCATTGTCGAGATTATCGAGCTTAATACGCAAATTAAACACGGAAAAGGGACGGCACAACTGGGAGAATTCACTGAAAAATTGGACAAGAAACGCAAGAATCTGAATAAAAATCTTATGACACTGGCCAAGTGGGCTGATGAGTCCTCTGAGACGTCCCCAAGACAGCCGCAGGCGTATGGACAATCTCAAATGACTCAACATCAGAAACAGCAGCAACAGCAGAAACAACAACAACAGCAACAGCAACAACAGCAGCAGTACGCCCGAGCAGGGATGATGCAGATGCCTATGACTAATCAAGCCCAGTACCAGGCACAGGCTCAGGCCCAAGCGAGAGCCCAAGCTCAGGCTCAAGCACAGGCTCAAGCGCGACTTCAAGCTCAAGCGCAGGCCCAGACCCAGGCCCAAGCTCAAGCGTACGCACAGGCTCAATATCAGGCACGGATGAACCCAATGATGGCTCAGCAGTATGGTCAGATGAATCCGATGGCTCAACAGCAGCATCAGCAACAACAACAACACCAACAGCAACAGCGGTTTGCTAATGGTGGCATGTCGTACGGTGTACCCAGCAGCGGACCGATGGCCCACCCCGTCCGAATGAGCAATGCTATGCCAATCTCTACGAACTACGCTGACAACCGGGGCGGCATGGCGCCTACTATGGGCTTCCAAATGGTCCCTCAGGGTTACGGCATGGTGTCCACCACACCGATGCAACGCTTGAATCCCGCGACGCAAGGAATGGCTCAGCAAAGTATACAGCCGCACAGTATGCCTCACCAGAGCATGTCAATGCCTCAGCAAAATATGACGATGCCGCAACAGAGCATGGCAATGCCCCGACAAAGTATCGCAATGCCTCAGCAGAGTATGATGTCTCAGCAAAACATATCTATGGGTCAACAGAGTATGCCCCAGCAGAGTATGCAGATGTCTCAACAAGGCATGGTACCGATGCAGATGAATGGACCACCGAATTCAGGCCCCATAGCAGATGTTTCTGGTCGGCCAAGCAACTAATTTTACTGGAGAAGGCTTGAGTTATAGGCATCATATCACAAAAGAAGGCATTTTTGCTTCTCTTTATATTTTTCTACATTGCAAAATGCAGATGACCATTATTGTACTCGGTTGTTGTTGTCAACAGAGTAAGTTATTTACTTCAATTTGTTTGTGCTACTTTAGAGAAGTTATTTATAGACGAGGTCTGTGAAGTAAGCGGTTTTCAAGTTTTGGCGGGAGACGCATCCGTTCATTGTCTTCTTTTGTTTGTACCATGGTATCATCCCAAGGTTTCTCCATTGACTCAATGAGTTCCAAGTCCAATACTTTGAATGAAACTAATGCGATGGATTCTCAAGAGCAAGATACGAACAAATTAATGTCCAACTCGAGTGAATTGCCGCTCGATAAGAGCCACATGGAATTACAGACGAAAGAGACGACTATCACTCGCACTATGAGCCCCGAGAAGCGCTCGCTCATCGAGGAAATTGAGAGTGAGGAAGACGATGCAGAATTTGATGAGAGAGCGCATTGGTCTCGACGAAGTGTAAGCAAAAAGTCGAGATCGTCACGAAAATCGATTGGAATACAAGACAAATTTCAGCCGTCAATTGCGCTCTTTTACGTTAAAGAGGCGACGTCTACAGTCAAAAAACAGGAAGGAAGAAGTGTAAAGGAAGATACAATGACCAGTGCTATTATCGTCTCACAGGAAGAAGATAATGGAAAGAAGGAGAACAATCAAACTAGTGGCAGGAAGAAGAAAAAGATCGAGAGCTTGGGACTCGAGTTTGATTCAGTAGTTAATATTGGGCAAAATACGATTGCTGTAATGAGCTCTGGACGACCAAAGCGACAAGCAGTTGTACGAGCAGAGATTTTGCAGCAGCAACAAAAGCTTTTGGATGCTGTTGCCGATAGGAAAAATGCCGCTTCCTTTTTGACGCCCCCATCGTTAAACCAGAAGAAGAAGAAAGAAGGAAATGCAACAACTAGTGGGCGTAAGCGAAAGCTTAATATGAACAAGAAAAAGACATTGTCATCTGCAAAGGGAGGACCTTTCACGACAAACTCACCAGGTACGAACAAGACAGCACAGTCATTTTTTTTGAGTGAGCAAGTAAAAAAGCAGTTACAGGAGATTGAAGCCGTGTCAGTATTTCGGGAACAACTTCGACAAACACGTGAAAAAGATCTTGCTTTTTTTGCTGGTAAAATGGCTAATCCATTTTTTCGGACGCGAACTTCCAGTAGTAAAGAAAATGACGAAGGAGTTGTTGAGACTTACGGAGATGATGAAGGCATTGAGGCAAAGCAACGACGTGGTACAGATGGGACTCGCTGGAGTAAATCATTTACACTGTTTCCGGAGATGCAACACGTATTGACCCCATGCGTAGAAACAGAAGGTATGGACACAAGTGCTGTCAACTTAACTCCACCAAAGAGAGTGCTACCTGTAGCAAATGTATCTTCTGCAGTCGTAGTCATCGATGACGATGCAGCAACAAAAGTCAGGCTGCCGAGAGAAGCAATGGCCCAGCTACAAGCTTCCATGAATGGGCAAGTGACCACGGAGTCTTCGTTTTCGGAACAGTTTTGGTTTCACGAGTTCTTAAATGCGTCCAGCTTACCAGCCTCCTAATGTAAAGCTTATCGATGTTACCTCTCCCCGTCTCGAAGAGGATGCAGACGCTGCTGCAGCAGAACTGGCAGAAAAGGAGACGTTGCTTGTTGACGAATTAGTAGAGACGCATGGTATGTGCGAGAAACGAGTGCGTGAGCTTCTTAACGGGACTTGAACAGGCCAGAGCGAAATGTTCGGATCGTGAACTAAACCTGTCGTTGGTCGACCGCTACTTACCGGTGAATGCTAGTGGTCTTGTTGGCAATCGCGAATCCCTCCACACGCTGTCATCGTGGTTGAGTGCTTGGAAAGTAGGTGGTTGCGATCGTCAAAAGCTCGATTGCTTGCACTCGGAACTTCTTACGTTTGAGGATAGCGACAGCGATGGGGAGGGTGAGGCTGGCGATCTGTGTCGTCTATTCATTTTAGAGGGCGAGTCGGGCTCGGGTAAATCGGCAGCCGTCTATGCGTGCGCCGAAGAGCTCGGCTACGAGATTATTGAGATCAACGCAGCTCAAAATCGCTCTGGAAAGAGTGTCGTGGAGCTTGCCGGTGAAGCCACGCAGTCTACTCGTGTTTTGCACGTGGGTACAAAGGAGGACAAGCGAAAGAAGCAACACAAGAAGAAGCGGAGACGACACGTGGAAAGCCGTAAGAGTTTCGAGCAGCCAGCAGCATCGTCATTGTCGCTGGTGATGTTTGAAGATGTAGACCTGGTCTTTGACGACGACAAAGGTTTCCTCAATGCTGTGTGCTCCATCGCTAAGCATTCAAAATGCCCTATTGTCGTAACTTGCACACAGTTGCCTGATACGTTTCCCGCTAAACCCGGGCGTCTGTACCGCGAACTTCGCAAGCCTTCAATCGACGAGTTTGCAACATGGATGCGTCTGGTAGCCTTCATTGAAGGACTGCAATTGGCACCATCTCTTATAGATGTACTAGGTAAGTTCTTTGAACGGGATGTTCGTCGCTCACTGCATTTTCTGGAGGCCAGTTTACTGGTTTCTGATGCAAAGACAAAGACGCTGTGGCAATGGCAACACGATAACGCAGACAGCAACGGTGCTATCCACGTAAATGTTCCTGCTTGGACCATATGGTCAGCAGGGTCCTCGTCGTTCGACGCTCTGACAAGTAATTTACTATTAGAGCTCAGCGCTGCTGCTGAATTCGAGGAAAAGAAACACGAGGACAAAAGCCGTGAAGAGAAGCAAGTGGAAGTTGACGCTATGGCGGAGTTAGCGCAGGTCATGGATTCTGCTTCGGTTGCAGAAATGTGGATGGCACCTGCTACGGCCAATGGATTCGATAGCGATGAAACTGAGGTACGGGTATGTTGTCAGTCGAACTGTTTGTTGGTTTCTCACACTGCAGCATTTTGATGCCGACTAATGACAGGATTCGTTCTTTCTCCGCGAACGTCAACGACTTGCCGCACTGGAGCTGAGACGTTCTAGTCTTTATATGTTGGGATCGTCTACGAGTCCTCTTGGTGCGTTGTTGATGCAGGGCCAAGGCCCTGTCGCCTCTAAATGCGTTCAGCGGACATTAGACTGCGCTCTCGCAGCTTCCAGTCGACGTTTCCACCAGACAGCGTTAGCGGAGCTGAAACCAAAGTTTGAGCTTCCGCTTGCCTACAAAGGGTACGCCTATAACTCGGCCCTGTTGTCTAGTGCTATAACTCGGCCCTGTTGTCTAGTGCTATGTGATCTCACCTTGTGTTTTGCTGTTGCAGATGTGGAAACTCCGAGCCGCGATTTACGCTCGACTATATGCCAATGGTAGGCCTTCTATTGTCCAGTGCCAGTCTACAAGAAGGTCGACGACGGGCATCTCGACGGAACCACTATTTAGGCGACGTGTTGGGGGACATGAGTCTAATTGACGAGTTGCCAGCTTTTAACACGTACTTGCAGTCCGACAAGAACAAACTCCTCGCCACATCCCCGGTGCCCACACAGTGATAAGCGCAAGTATTGCCATTTCAAGATCATACTAACTCATCTTCTTCTGTACTCCCTCCTTCCCTGTAACTTTGAGCTGTCTCGATATTTTGTGGTCTCTTTCACTTTCCTCAATCTGATTGCATCTCTATTTTTATTCTGCAGTCTTCTTCACTTTCGTCATCACTCGCTTCGTTCCCTTACCAATAAGATCCATAGCAGACGCATCCACTTTTGTCTTGATAATCTTGTTCAAAGACGTATAGAACAATGGGTGGTTCCTAATCGTCACCTAAATCAAAAGAGTATCATAAGACCCTTTTGTCTCCCCATTTCTCATCTACTTCTAAATCTACACTCTTACCACTGTACTATATTTCTTCTTGTGCTTATTATTCCCGTACTTACAGGCACGGAATAGCAACACTTTGTCTCCGTCTTCTACTGTGAGCTTGAAGATTTTCTGTAAAGCTTTTCCATTTACTTTGGCTACAGGTACTGAAATTCAAAATTTACGTTTAAAACTAGAGCATTCCAACGGATTTCTATTGTATTATGAGCCATAGAAAGACGTACCACTTTTACAAGAGACAACTACAGAGCCCTTGGAAATGGTTTGGGTCTCTGTATACAATTCTGTCACCTTGGTCAGAAATGTGTCCGTACTTACGAGCATTATTATGTTTTGCCTTCTTTATTGAAATGACTCGGAAAAAAACCTGTTGAAAATGATATCAACGTCAATAATGTAAGAAGTCGAATGGACGTCTGTCTGTGTATTGATGATGGACCTTTAAACTCGATTCCTTTCTTCCTGTCTTGTTTTATTCCACTAATGCAATATCCAGCAAATCACCTGGATGAAAACGTACACTAGCAAGTGTCTTATGATCATCAGCACATCGACGTCGACTACTATTAACGTAGCCAATTTTACGCATGAGCAATCTACATGACAAGTGATAATACTTTGAATCAGCTACAGCGTTCGTCGTCTGTAGGTATATATAGAGCTTAAAGATACAAGAGCAGAGCATAAATACATGTTCTAGATCTCACCTTCCATCTCTAGTTTCCGACACAATACATATACTTAGACGCATATTGGGCTTCTGAGCGTCCGTGTTTGAGTCCTGTACCAGATCTGCGATCTCTCGTAGTGTTGCGTCAGGCCTGTAGGAAGAAAGCATACAATGTAATTTATCATCAGATCCAGACAAAGACAACAGCCGAGAAAGATACGATCTCGTACCACGTGTAAATATGGAGCTCATTAGCAATTGGTTTGTCTTCCAAAGCTTCAAATGCATCAGTTCTGTAGTAAAAATAGTGACACGACATTTTTAATTGTAACTTGGGGTCAGTATTCAATGCCAACTTGTTAATAACGTCTTGATGATAAACATGTTGCAATTATCTTCCTGCCTATTATGCACTCCCTTGCTAAAGAAAACCCGTAGCAGGAAGGGACAATGTTTCTCGCGATTAATCGCACGGACTTCGGGCATTATGAATTATACTATCAAATGACGTCGGAATGTAGTTATTGTTTTTTTCAAACGAGTTTAAAAGGGTATGCTGGAAGATGGGATTAGTTGCGACCGGTGTTTACAGACCAAGGAAATAATGGCGGCACGCAATGTGGTTCGATTCCTTAAATCGGCTAATGTTTCCTTCTCTAGTTTTGACAGACGGGCGGCTGGTGCTTGGTGCGTTTCTGTGATATAAGATCTCGTATCTGTGATAGAAATTTTAATACATAACGATATTTGTGGCTGTAAATGTCCGTAGTGAATTCTTTCGACAGCTGACGGCAGAGAAGGTTTGGCATTGTAAATGCTTGAAGAAGAGAGAGCTGTAGTTATTGACTGGATGTTTGTATTGAACATAATAGACACGCAAGATAAACCCCAAGGCTGAGATTGTTCAGCATACGACGGTGACGGGTTCACTACCTACTATCAAACTGGACTTTAGTACGTTGTGTGTCGTTCTTTTTTGGCTGATAAAGTCGTTCATGAGAGTTTGGACCTTTCTTTATTCTCTTGTGATGTATCTTGTTTATGTAATGTAGTCAATGGCCGTAAACATGTTATGGAAGTACCTGGCAAGAATGTCCGTGATATTTTCGAGGAGGTGGACTTTTATTGCTCGCAGATTGAAACCGAGTACGAGAAAGAGGGCAAGTCCATTGAATAGACAGACAATAGTCAGATGGCAAGTGCTTGATGCTCTTGAAGTTCATGAGGCAATTCTTACAGTAGTTTAAAGGTTGAGAGACTAATGAAACTTGTTGCCTTATGGTATCTATTTTAAATAGCATAAAGTTGATTACTTCGGGTCAACAAGTGCAATCTCAGCTTGTATTTCTTCATCAAAATTTGGCTGCAATGTATACAGATTCATAGTCTTTGCACGTTCCATTGAGAACTTCAATACGTGATCTCTGCACCCGTGGCTGGAGCCTACACAAGCACATAAACACACACTTAGTACTGAAAGAAACAGTGAACAAGTATCACAGAACAAACTATTTCACACCGCAAACTCGAACCACTCGGATACTAATGTCTTGGTTGTGTGCATTTGTCACAAAAACCAGCGACGTTTCGACCATTTTACACATTTCACGTGCGCATCGAATGACGCCTAATTTCGTGTGTGTATTGTAATAGAGCACTAGATAGAAACAACAACGAGTCAGAGAGAGAGGAGAGAGAGGATCATGACACAAAAACTACTCTCCGACGTCATCACACCCACCTTGAAAAGCATATTGGGCCAATCCCGAGCCATAATCGCCATAGCTCTTGATAATAGACTCACGAATTAAAACTACAATATCATCCTTTTTTACAGTCAATTTACGGGCACCAGTGACTTCCACGACCAAGTACCGAGTCTTAAGTCGCACCATAGTAATTGTATGGTCGGCAACCGTTAGTTTTGGCCTCTAGATGGCTACATAATTCATCATTTCATCATTTTTAACCAATCAACATGCTTAAAATGATCAAAAATCAGCTTTTATTCACAAGCGAGTCAACATGAGCAGCGGAGGAGAAGTTGCAGTGCCTGGTCAGTGCTTAGCTACGGTAGATGAAACGATCAAAGCAGGAAGTGGAGCGTATGTACGTGATGGATCGATCTTTGCATCCATCTTTGGCAAGTGGCGTATCTCACAGAACATTGTGGAAGTAACGCGAGCCAATAAGACAATGGCATCGGACCAAGTGTTACGACTCAATGATATTGTCATTTGTCGAGTGATAAAGATCACGTCTCGACAAGTGATGGTTGATATTGTTTGTGTGGGTGAGACAGTACTGAAGGAGGCATTTCCAGGGACGATTCGACTCGAAGACGTCCGGACTCAGGACATTGATAAGCTCGTGATGGAAGAGGTTTTCTTACCTGGTATGCTTGTCAAGGCGGTGGTGTTGTCATTTGGTGACACTCGATCCTACTTTCTCTCGACAGCTAAGCCAGGACTTGGTGTTGTACACCAACCAATAGACCAGGACAGCCAGACGACCGTCTTCGAGACGAAGTAGATTGCAGGAATGAATCAAAAACAGGTAAACAGCCATAGCAAATGGGAAATGCTGTAATGGGCTTTACAAGCAACAAAGGAGTATGCCGTTGTGGCTGACATCAAGAAGAGATGATGCGTATGGCTGCCGCCCGTGGTGTTGCTAATTCTTGTCAAGTTAAGTATCAACAACGTCTTCTCCTCCTCCTTAATTGTCACACGCTTTCTCACTTGAACTTGTCCATTCCAACTAATGCTATGTGCTTAAATTGCTTTTCTGCTACATTTTGACTGTCTCGAAGGGCTAGAACATATTTGGTACAATCACAGTATGCTTTTGACTGGCAAAAGAACTTGTTGCTTAAACAATGCACTATTAACTTATGCGTGCTTGCTGTTTTCTATCAGCTTTGCTACTCAGTTGCTTAAGTAAATAAAATGTACTACAGAACACTGGAATGGAAGTCAAAGCGTGTAAATCTAATGGTTTAGTCAACTGCAGATGGCATAGCAAGTGTCTAGTTACAAATTCGGCCGGCATGTAAAAAGGTCTCATTCCCGAAGAAGCTCACGTCTATCTATACAAAATACATTTTTACCGCTTATTACCGTGTCATTTTTACTTAATCATTGGGATATTTCGATGTAACAAACACCTTCGGTTGATCTATAGCCTCCCTTTATAAAGCCCTATAGCTGAGGAACGTCAATGCAGCTTCGAGGTTGTATTGATTTAACAGGCATCTAAAACTCGGTGCAAAACGAGCGATGGCGAACCTAAGTACCACGTTCCCGAACTTAGCGATTTGTTCGTTATTTTGACATTAAATAGTAGTCTCTGATAGTACTACATAGTATCAGTAGCGTAATAGCTCAATTAGAGGAGTATACATGTCGAGGGTATTATACGAATATCAGTATACGGTGCTAAATATCTGAATCACTTTGCGAGCTCAAGACATTAGCAAATACTTAAAGCGAAGAGGACGTGGTCTACCTACTGCTATAAAGTCTATATGGACAAAAAAGCGTCTTGTGTCAGGTTTACGATATGAGAGTTAAGAGCTGCTGACGCCGGTAGGTTTTTGAAGAACGATTGCGTTTTAAGACGTGCTGATGCACCAAAAAATTAGACAAAAGGTTGGGACAAAATAAGGTGGAAGTTGCGTTCCACCAACTTCAATATAGCTGACTTTGGTCGACGTTTCGGACGCTTTAATGAGTGACCCCCCCTGTGTCGCTTGCATCACATCATTTGACGTCCGCAAATGTAACGGCAGGCCGGGTGTATTCATACAATAGGAAGCCAACACCTACTACTTCGAAGACGCGCGCTGCTCTACGAATAATGTTGTTTTCCAATTGCTGCAATCAGGTCTCGCACGTACGTCTCGATGTCGTGCTGCGTAGCCTGGACTGTCTCGAGAACCTCATTGTGTGAAGCTGCTTCACGTTCTTCCCCCGGAAAAAGCGCCTTGTTGGTGATCAACGATAAACCAAGTACTTTCAGTCCACAGTGTGCAGCTACAATCACCTCAGGTACTGTGCTCATACCAACAGCATCACCTCCCACCAATCGTAGGAACCGACATTCCGTCGGTGTTTCATATGTCGGCCCAGAGACAAAGCAGTACACACCCTTTCGTATCTTATGAGCAAGTCCAAGATCCTTTGCCACATGAAGAGCGAGCTCTTGTAAGTTCTTGTCGTAACAGTTCGAAAGCGGCGTAAAACGAGTTCCAAAGCGAGAGTCATTAGGTCCAATGAGAGGGTGTTGACCTGACAATCCCGGCATGTTTAAATGATCATTTAGAATCATAAGGTCACCCACATAAAAGTCTGGGTTTAGACCACCTGCTGCATTGGTTACTAGCAAGTATTTGATACCCAATAGATACATAACACGAATAGGTAGTGCCGTTTCTCGCATAGCATAGCCTTCATAGCAATGAAAACGACCACGCATGCAGACGACAACAATCCCATCCAGGTCTCCAAACACCAATTCACCTGCATGACCTTCAACGGTAGAGTGTGGAAACTGTGGAATGTCCTCGTACTTAATAATCTCCTGGTGCGAAAGGCATTTGCTGAGTCCACCAAGGCCTGAGCCACAGACAATCCCAATGAGTGGACGACTAGAGATACGCTTCTGTAAAAAGTTGTTAATAGTATCGATACGTTCTTCAGGAATAATCTCGTCCGATATTTGGCCCGTGGACATGCGACGCACGTGGTGAATGGCCTTATCATCTGTCGAAGCAGCGAGAGTAGCAACAGAAGTAGTAACTGTACGGCAATGAGCTTGTGGACTTGATCCGTCTACACTGTGGCTGTGATAATGACGAGTTACATGTGTGGGCAACGGCAGTGGAGAAGGTACTGATGTAGGCGGTGTTTGATCGAGAATGTCATTCATCATGTTGTTTGTGATTGGGTGTATCTTTCTCAGTCAATGAGGCGTTTAGACGGCAGATTTAAGAATGCCACTTGAATAGAATGCCAACAGCTGGAAGAACCCTACCCCGTACACACATTCAATAGCTCATTTTTCTTACAGTCTACTATTATATATTAGAGGCCTTTTATGAGAGTTATTCCGACCAAAGGTCGCGTCGACTCAAGGAGCTACAGTATTTTTATTCTCACTATTGTACTAGCTTTAAGCCGCCATTTCGCTTGGCGAATGACTTTCCACTAATTGCAGCTCCTTATATATGTGTGTTAATGAGGGGTTGTCGAGTATTATTTTCACATGTAGATAAACCATGGCAAAGTGGTACATTAAGTAAAAGGTTATATTATTTTAGTAAGCGCGTTTGATATAATTTGGGTACAAACCACATCGAAAGTCAGAAAAAATGTAAAGCCATCAAGCGTCTTAACATGATAACAGACGACTGCCTATATGTGCGAAACAGATGTTAGCATAAGTCAGTGCCCTACTCGAGATTCAAGAAACCCCGAATAGGTCACTTTTCTAGCCTGTGTTCCCAAATCAAGATTTTGGAGCTAAATTCTTTCCTAATTGGTTTAAAACAAGATCGTAGTGTTCCCGAAGAAGCACACGTAATAACTATGATGAATATTTTTTCACGCAAGAATAAGCTAGAAGATGAGCTATTTAACATGAAGTTTACAGCCAAGACGTTGCTGCGTAATGCTAGAAAATGCGAGAAGAATCAAGTCGTACAAAAGGCAAATTTGAAAAAGGCCATTGAGAAGGGAAATATGGAAGGGGCTAAGATTTATGCGCAGAATGTGATTCGTGAAAAGAATCAGGCGCTGAACTACTTGCAATTGGCCTCTCGCATGGATGCAGTGGCTGCGCGTGTGCAAACGGCTATTAGCATGGGCCAGCTCAAGGCCAATATGAGTGGCGTAGTCAAGGGCATGGACACAGTCATGGAGTCTATGAACGTAGAGGCGATCTCGCAGACTATGGACCAGTTTGAAAAGCACTTTGAGGACATGGACGTGCGTTCTGCTTACATGGAAGGCACCATGAGCAGCGGTACATCAATCTCGACACCTGCAGACCAGGTAGACGACCTTATTCAGATGGTCGCGGATGAGAACGGGCTTAAGGTTGCAGGACAGCTGGACTCGGCGGGGCTTGTAGGTACAGAGCTGCCTATAACGGAAGCAGCACGAGAGAAGAAGTCACAAGATGATTTGTCCATGCGGCTCGCAGCACTACGAAAGTAGAGGTTTTTCTAAGTGGTTACTACTTCTCCTCACAATACACTTTTCCTGTCATTTGGAGAGAAACCACATTGAACTCAATAGCTGCTGGTGCTTATACTTCCGATATATCTGGTATTTGAAATGGCTGCTAAGTATTAGAGAGTGCTAAACTTACCACTGTTCTTTTAAATCGTTTAGAATAGGGAGTAGATTTATATGCACCCATACAAATTCCAACATCTATCGCATTCTTTTAAAGTGCACAAAGCGATACGATTGGTCTCACTATGACAGATCAAGTCAATTAAAGTATTCGATAGGCTGTCAAATCTATCTACTGCTTAGTAGACGATCTACTCTATAAACATATTCAGTCATTATGGTCAACTTTGGCCTACGTCTTCGTGACAATTTGGTCGCTGAATGGCGTAATGATTACATGGATTACGATGGACTTAAGCGATTGCTAGAGCAACAACAGCAGATTGATGCGTCACTTCCCACTACTGCAGCTGCCTACACGACGTCAAACGTACGCAGATCGACCGAGGACATGGAGATTAACGCATTGAGCGATCACCAGTGGCGTCCTATGGCCACTGGTAGTAGCAATCAATTGGCCAAGAAGGTCGGTAAAAAGCTCTCGTTCTTGCGACTGCCAAGGTCGCCCCCGTCATCTATCGACTCGGAACAACTGCAGTCGCTGCTTTCAAAGCCTGTCGCCTTTAAAGAGGCGCTAGAGCATGAGTTTATAAAGGTCGAGCAGGCTTATAGACGTCATATAGCACAGTTGGCTGAGCAACTTGAGCATTTAAAGGCACAACACCGAGACGATGCACCTGCTTCAGCTCAGGAATCGCTTAAAAATTCGCTAGTTGAATTGCATCGCTTGTTGCATCTACTGCATAACTTTGCACTACTCAATTATACCGGCTTTGTAAAGATATTCAAACGTTACGACAAGATTGAAAGCTTCCCAGCGGATCAGCGTGAGGAGCAGAAAGCCAAACTACAGACGCTCCAGTTTGCTACGGCACAACAATGTAAAGAACTCTTGAAGCAAGTGGAGCAGTCATTTGCTGACTGGTTCTGCGATGGGAATTCTACTGTTGCCGTGGCGACGCTCATGACAAGGAAGGAAGATTTTGTCAACTGGGGACATATCTATCTAGGGATAAAAAGTGGATCGTGCCTTGTTTTGCTGATCTGGGTATGCTGGGACTCACTAGTTGTTCCAATGTTTCACAACGAACGTGAGTATCATCTCATTGATCTCGTACGAACGCGTGCATATCCAGTCTACCGCGGCATAGGTTGTTTCCTCCTACTGCATTGGTTGGTTGGAGTGTCACTCTACGTGTGGCGCGCGGCACGAATCAACTACCGGTACATCTTTGAGCTGAATCCACGACGAGCACAATCGTACCCGCAGGTGTTCAGTGATGCCACCAACATGACTATTGTCTTTTTGGCAAACGTCTTGCTCTACTACAAGGTCGTGAACGGCTACTTTCCCGAAGAGCTACTACACCGTGGCTACTATCCACTGGCGCTATTCCTGTACACCATCTACTTCTACGTTATTCGCCCGTGGGGGCAGCAGCTCGGTATGCTGCGAACGTTGTGGGAGGTGGTGTGCTCCCCATTGTATTCTGTTTCATTCTTCCACACCTTTGTGGGAGACTACCTGACAAGTACAGTTAAGGTGACACAGGATGTCACTTGGTCGGTCTGCTTCTTTGTTACAAAAGAGTTCTTGCGCAAAGATGTTGCCCCGACTGGTGTTGGCGCACCTGATTTGCACTATTTCCCAGCGGACCCGGATGAACAAACTTGTGCTGACAATGTGTACAACGTGAACGTGGTGATACCGTTGGTGTGTGTATTACCGTTGTGGTGGCGCTTTCTACAGAATCTTCGCCGCGTGTACGACACGAAAACGTGGTGGCCACACCTGCCCAACGCTGCCAAGTATGCGCTCACGCAGGTGGTGGTGCTGTTTGGCCTTTTCCATCCCTTGCACAGCGACAACAGCGCAGAGAATGCGTCACAGGTGCGATTGTTCATTGTCGCATGGCTGTTTTTCTTTACAGCTAGTTCGCTGTACACGTGGGTCTGGGATGTGACGATGGATTGGGGACTCGGACGGCCGCAGTTCAAGTTCCTAGGCGACTCGCAGATGTTCTCGCACAAGTGGGTCTACTACGCCGCTATCGTTGCCGACCTATTCTTGCGTTTTGCGTGGACTCTCACGCTCATTCCTCCACGTGGTGCAGCTCACTGGCTACCGCTTTATTTGCAGCCTTTCACGATGGTGCTGGAACTATTCCGCCGAACATTTTGGAGCTTTTTCCGTTTAGAGAATGAGCACCTGCGCAACACACAAGGTTTCCGTCGCGTGGATTTCATTCCGCTGCATTATGACCACGGTGTAGGCGACGTGGAGAAAGACATGAAAGTGGAGCAACCGGACTTCCGAGTCTTTACGCTAAAGATCTTGGCTATACTTTTCACGGTGCTAGGACTAAGTGTCATTGCAATTGTCATTGAGAGCTAATCGACTGTCGCTCGTAAGAACATCACAAGTGGAGCAGGTACCATGAGCAAAGTCAATATCTGACAGTTACGTATGTAAAGAGAAGGTATTAATGAATGCACGGGTCAAGAGTGGAAAGCCTACTTTCACCGACATCAAGTTAAATTTTCCTCTAGCACTTGCATGTCCTTAAAATTTAACTTCCTTGAGGCCCCACTTAATGTAGCAAAAGGTCGGAGCAACGGCACCCTCAGGGTAGTAAGCGTAGGCAAGACCAGCCTCCGAATCACATGACTTGAACATGTAGAATTGCAGCTCACTAAACATAGACACAAGGAACTTGACAATCTCCTGAGCGTCAGTCTTGAATTGAGCAAGGGCTTCGTCTCCTGCGTCACTCGACTTGAGGTGCTTCATCGTCTTACGAAAGTACGACTTGAGGTACGTTTTAAGCTCGGCTTTCGTGTCAAAGCCCGTCTCAATGTAGCCAAAGCCGATTGCGTCATCAATGACATTGTTGACTGTCTCGACTGAGTCGTCAACTTGTTCATCGTCTCCTCCAAAAGCATCACCACATCCAATATCGATATTGTCCGAACCCTTGGTCACTGTCTTGGATTCGACTTGAAACATCCCAGAGACTTCATTCCCTTCCATGTCCTTGCATGGAGACACTTTAAGTGAATCCGACATCACTTCATCATCTGTGAAAATATCCTGCCACACCAACATTTTGATTGTTTACTTGTCTCAAGACTGAAAAGCTACTGATTGTTACGTCTTTTAATGGAAAAGTCAATGATCTCGAATATGAGCCACCAATTTTTTTAAAGAGTCACAGGCTTTTCAATGGTTTGAAAGGGGGAAGATTAGATGATCCGATTAAAAGAGTAAAATAAGTCGCGAGCTTCCCATCACTCCGCTACGGAATGTAGAAATTTCGTTTTAACCAATAATAGTGGTCAGATTTTAATACGTTTAAACTAGGCTATGTGCACTACACCACCTACGTCGACCTATGGACTGTATTCTAACTGTCGTGATGAAATGATCATTGCAATAACACTGTTATGATACTTTAAAAAACTAGTAAATGTAACTGATACATGTAGTTAATTAACTCCTTCACATCATATGCACTTGTCATCACTTTATAAAAAATTCTCTTCTGTGTCTTCTGATATTCACCATCATAAGAGACTAGTATGTTTTTGATACTATCTGCATGTGCAATCATCTCGTTAGTAGTAGATAGTCAGTACGTCTACGGTGGTGAGAGTGATGTCGTCTGTGATCTGTGACTTTGCTGATCTCGTGGTGATATTAGGGGCGGGTTGACACCCAATCACACGACGTTTTCGGACCGTGTCAACTTCTACATCAGCCCTGATTAATAAACCTATTACACAGGATTATTTGTTTCACTAGGCTAGCTCATACTGGATCTCTACCAAATTGACTCTTTCTATCCTATTTTAGATGATAGGTTTTCTATAGAATTGTTTCTTCAGACTCTATCTATAGAACCGACATCTGTTAACTAACCGCTTTTTCACCGAATCAACTAAAACTGTGATCCAATATACTATAACACCATCGTCGTGATAGACATCAATATTTATTGTTATACAACGATATTGTATTGTTAGACAATAATACCTGTTAAAATCAAATTCCTAAGCTACCAGCATGTCCAAGGCACCCAAAACTAAAAGGACTGCAATCCATTATCAACCCTATCAGGCACTTAGTGTACGTTCTCGTACAAGAAACAGTCAGTCAGTCATTTATGCAGTCTTTGTAGCTGATCCTTTTTGAATATTGTCGTGTAATTACAGCAGAATAATGAAAGCGATGAGCAATCGATTGAAACAAATATGTCGGATATTCCACTCGGTCTGGATCCGGTGCTTACGTACGTGGATTGGCTACAATATTATGAAAAATTGTGATGAAAAAGTGACAACTCATGGTACTTATGATCGTGTATTTTGTTTGTATCTTAGAGGTCTATCGTCAAATATGAGCCGCAATTTGTGGGACGACTGGAACGAGCAGGATGCCAATTTTGGTATGAAATTTGACATGTACACGGATGAAGTGAGTACGACTAGCTCACCAAGCAGTTCAAATCTAAATTTGCACATTGACACCAGTGGAACCTCTTTAGGTTACGAACAGGAGCAAAACATCTCGCTTGATATGATGACGCATCATTCGCATGTACTTGGAGAAGTTATTACCCCGACTCTAGAAACTCAGCAAAAGCCGCGGGCAGATGTTGAGCGGTCGCTAAGTGAAGACATCGTCAAGATGTTGAATGAGACGAATGAGACGATATTCTCCAAGCAGTTAGATACAGACCAGCGCAGCAATGTGGCCATGCAAAGTATATCTTTTAATCCCGGGCAGAACATGATGTCTAACCAGCAGCAAATACAGCAGTTTCAGCAGCAACAAATGCAAATTAAAATGGAACTACAGCTTCAGCAGCAGCAGCAGCAACAACAACAGTATCAGCAGCAGCAACAACAGTACCAACAACAGGAGCAACAATTCCAACAGAATCCTGCTCCGAATACCTCGAGCTGGATGAACAACTTCGGTGGTGGCACTCGGGTTGATGCAACCACGATCACGTCGGCTTCTGGCAAACCCAGCAACCCGTCCGCTCCATGTCATCAGTCACACACAACAAGCTCTACAGCTTTTGGTGTTGTCGCTGCTGAGGGAACCGCTTCATTGACTACTCAGTGTCCAGCATCTCAAGTTCCAGAGACACCAGCTACATCTTCGTCTTGTGTGCCCACTACAGCCCAAGTGGCCTCAAACTTGAATAGCGCTAATGAAAAGGATGGATTAGCGCGTACACATTCTGGTGCCCCTTCTCCTAGCAGTGCTAGTAGCGAAGACGCCAGCGTGGCGAACAAGGCCATTAACGCAGATACGGATCCGAGCAACAGTAGTAACAGCAATGCAAGGCAAGTCAACGGATTTGGTGCGCACGGAATGATGATGAATCCCTTCATGATGTACCCAATGATGGTTCCACAAGCGATGAACATGACGGGATTGCCCATGCAGATACCTATGGGGATGAACGTGAATGGAATGAACAGCATGAACGGAATGAATGGACTACCACTTCCGATGCAAATGCAATTGCAGTTGCAATTGCAACTGCAGATGGCGCAAATGGCGCAGATGAATGGAATGGGCGGTATGAATGGAATGGGCGGTATGAATGGAATGGGCAGTATAAATGGATTGGGCAGTATAAATGGAATGGGCGGTATGAATGGAATGCAGATGCCAATGGGGCTTCAAGGCATGTCGATGAATGTGAACATGCAGATGCCTGTGAATATGAATAAACAACAACAACAACAACAATCAACATCGGGTTAACTCACAAAGTGGGCTGTCTGGTGACATTGAGATGACCCCAGCATTTTCTATGGGAATGCCTGCCGCCGGGGGTCCAATGCTGAAGTCGGCGAAAGCCCTACAGCCGAAGGGTGTGGGTGGAGGACCAGGTTTTGTGAATATTGCTAGAAAGCCGGAAGAGCCCGAGGTGAGCAGTATTCTAAAGTCCCTTATGGACGAAGAAGCAAGGAAGAAAGAGAAAAAGCTTGAGCGTAATCGCGATTCAGCTCGGGAGAGCCGTAGAAAACAGCAGACTTATGTGGAAACATTGGAAAATGGTATTAAGCGCCTGCAGATTAATCGCGACTTAGTTCGGTCCTATCGATGGGGCGTCAGTGGTCCAGGACTCGGCTCCGTGCCCTGCCCGGACTCGCCCGAAATGTCTGATTGGAAAAATCGCGTTGCAATCGTTGCGGGGCGTACTGAAGCTTTCTCGAATATACAGAATCCTGCAAATTTTCAGTCTCTGATGCGACTAAACCGACAGCGATGCACCCTTGCAATACATTACCAAGAGCGTGAACGTGCGATATGGAAATGTTTTGTGTTTATTGGACGCCAGCTTGCAGCGATGCGCACACGTGTGCTACAAGTGCAGATGCTGCGCACGTTTTCAAAAAATCCTTTGGCAATGGAGTTAGATGCATTGCTGAAGTTGACAACCGACCAAAAGCTGCAGCTTCAGCATCACGCGCAGGAAATGTTTAATGAGGAGGTCGTGGAGCTGACGAAGCTATTCAAGATCTTCTATGCTTTGCGCAACGAAGCTCTTCGGCTGAATATCCTATGTCCATCACTGGAACGCCACTTTCGCGAGGCGTGTTCGTTTGGTCAATTGCATAGGCTGTTGCAGTGGACAGAGAATCATCGTGCAGTCATCGAAACGGATCTGTGCCTCGACGAAGTCTAAGTGCCAGTGAAGTTGTCCAATTAACTTGTAGCAGAGTGAAGACTTAAGGTCTTTGCGTAGTATTGTACAATGTGGCATAATGACGCACATCGACTTTGACTGCCGAAAAACAACTCGCTACCATCGTAATGTAACCTAGAGCAATGATAGATGAGATGAGGTCGCTCATGAACATTCCTTTGGCTTTTTAAATAATGTTATTCTCGTCAAAGGCTTGAAAAAACGACATGACAATTGACACATTACCACATTTATGGAACTGGGTGATTTGACTTGTTGCAGTGCGCTGAGACTTGGTCGTTCGTTGTCATATAAGCACAATGCTATTACATGTTGTTACGGTTTGATTGTTGTCTGATAATAAGTTTTGGCAGGAAATATTGTAGAATGCCATAGCCATGGAACGTATTATATTTAATTTTGAAACAGCAGGCTCTTATTAACTAAGGTAAAACCTTTAAAGTAAGAAATTTGGAGAGTTTGCAACCAATAAAATAGTCACAAATTAATTGTAGAAAATGTAAGACTGCCAGTCCTTGCGAACAATGTAGTCAATCCCTCGATTGGCTATGTCATTTTTATAAGAGCTTAGTTGTCTTCCGATTAAGTACCCGGCAAAGCCCTCAGGGCTGTAGACAAGGAATATGCCAGCCTGGCATAACCTATGGGATCCATAGAATTACCAAAAACCTTTAGCAGGACTTTTTGAATCCCTTCTAAGTTACCTCTTTACCTCGCACCCACGGAAAAAAGTAACTCGCACCCATTTGCCGTACCTATCACCCGTTTTGGTTATATAGGGTGGTGTGGTGAAGTCGATCAAGAAAAATTTGATCGACAATATCGAAAGTGATTATAATGTGGACCACTTACACGGCGGAAGTCATATCCTATGGATTATACTTGGCTATTGTATGGGAGCGATCAAGATCTATCGATGAATGATTGCATAGTTTATACTTGGCTATTGTATTGGAATGATAGCTTATCTGGATCGATCATGTGATGGCCACGGTTGGCCGAGGAGTACGCGGCGGTGATGACGATCAGGGTGGGAGATCGCTCGATCGCAATCGCCGATTGTGATCAGCAAGGGTGATCGTCGATCGTGATCAACAAGTGTGATCGACGATCGTATCGATCAGAAAGCCGATGAGATGAAGGTTAAGATGATGTAATGATGAGGATCAAGATCGCGATGGATCGACGATCGTGATCAACAAGTGTGATCGACGATCGTGATCAACAAGTATGATCGACGATCGTAACCTCGATCCAGAATGCCGATCGCGAGATGTAACCGGTTACAGATCGATCATAACCTCGATCGACGGATCAAGATCGCGATGGATCGACGATCGTGATCGACAAGTGTGATCGACGATCGTGACAAGTGTGATCGACGATCGTAACCTCGATCTAGAAAGCCGATCGCGAGATGTAACTGGTTACAGATCGATCGTAACCTCGATCGACGGATCAAGATCGCGATGGATCGACGATCGTGATCGGCAAGTGTGATCGACGATCGTGACAAGTGTGATCGACGATCGTAACCTCGATCTAGAAAGCCGATCGCGAGATGTAACTGGTTACAGATCGATCGTAACCTCGATCGACGGATCAAGATCGCGATGGATCGACGATCGTGATCGACAAGTGTGATCGACGATCGTGACAAGTGTGATCGACGATCGTAACCTCGATCTAGAAAGCCGATCGCGAGATGTAACTGGTTACAGATCGATCGTAACCTCGATCGACGGATCAAGATCGCGATGGATCGACGATCGTGATCGGACGATCGTGATCGGCAAGTGTGATCGACGATCGTGACAAGTGTGATCGACGATCGTAACCTCGATCCAGAAAGCCGATCGCGAGATGTAACTGGTTACAGATCGATCGTAACCTCGATCGACGGATCAAGATCGCGATGGATCGACGATCGTGATCGGCAAGTGTGATCGACGATCGTAACCTCGATCTAGAAAGCCGATCGCGAGATGTAACTGGTTACAGATCGATCGTAACCTCGATCGACGGATCAAGATCGCGATGGATCGACGATCGTGATCGGCAAGTGTGATCGACGATCGTGACAAGTGTGATCGACGATCGTAACCTCGATCTAGAAAGCCGATCGCGAGATGTAACTGGTTACAGATCGATCGTAACCTCGATCGACGGATCAAGATCGCGATGGATCGACGATCGTGATCGGCAAGTGTGATCGACGATCGTGACAAGTATGATCGACGATCGTAACCTCGATCCAGAAAGCCGATCGCGAGATGTAACTGGTTACAGATCGATCGTAACCTCGATCGACGGATCAAGATCGCGATGGATCGACGATCGTGATCGGCAAGTGTGATCGAGATCGTGACAAGTGTGATCGACGATCGTAACCTCGATCTAGAAAGCCGATCGCGAGATGTAACTGGTTACAGATCGATCGTAACCTCGATCGACGGATCAAGATCGCGATGGATCGACGATCGTGATCGGCAAGGTGATCGACGATCGTGACAAGTGTGATCGACGATCGTAACCTCGATCTAGAAAGCCGATCGCGAGATGTAACTGGTTACAGATCGATCGTAACCTCGATCGACGGATCAAGATCGCGATGGATCGACGATCGTGATCGGCAAGTGTGATCGACGATCGTGACAAGTATGATCGACGATCGTAACCTCGATCCAGAAAGCCGATCGCGAGATGTAACTGGTTACAGATCGATCGTAACCTCGATCGACGGATCAAGATCGCGATGGATCGACGATCGTGATCGGCAAGTGTGATCGACGATCGTGACAAGTGTGATCGACGATCGTAACCTCGATCTAGAAAGCCGATCGCGAGATGTAACTGGTTACAGATCGATCGTAACCTCGATCGACGGATCAAGATCGCGATGGATCGACGATCGTGATCGGCAAGTGTGATCGACGATCGTAACCTCGATCTAGAAAGCCGATCGCGAGATGTAACTGGTTACAGATCGATCGTAACCTCGATCGACGGATCAAGATCGCGATGGATCGACGATCGTGATCGGCAAGTGTGATCGACGATCGTGACAAGTGTGATCGACGATCGTAACCTCGATCTAGAAAGCCGATCGCGAGATGTAACTGGTTACAGATCGATCGTAACCTCGATCGACGGATCAAGATCGCGATGGATCGACGATCGTGATCGGCAAGTGTGATCGACGATCGTGATCGGCAAGTGTGATCGACGATCGTGACAAGTGTGATCGACGATCGTAACCTCGATCCAGAAAGCCGATCGCGAGATGTAACTGGTTACAGATCGATCGTAACCTCGATCGACGGATCAAGATCGCGATGGATCGACGATCGTGATCGGCAAGTGTGATCGACGATCGTAACCTCGATCTAGAAAGCCGATCGCGAGATGTAACTGGTTACAGATCGATCGTAACCTCGATCGACGGATCAAGATCGCGATGGATCGACGATCGTGATCGGCAAGTGTGATCGACGATCGTGACAAGTGTGATCGACGATCGTAACCTCGATCTAGAAAGCCGATCGCGAGATGTAACTGGTTACAGATCGATCGTAACCTCGATCGACGGATCAAGATC